GGCCATCAGCCATTGTGGTCTGGTAGGCTTGAGCCTCCAAAATCTTTGTAGGTGATGAAAGATTTCTGCACAAGGCTGGGGCCATGTAGTGGCGGCTTATACACATCTAGATGTGTATAAGAGACAGCCACCAGGACATCGTGCAGTCCTTTTGCCCCGTTTCCATGGGGCCACCAGCTCCCTCCCCCATTGCCATGCCAAGCCTTTGCCGAGGCGCGGGAAACGCGTAGCGTCAACGCTAAGGGCCCGCGGCCGATGTATGGGCCAAGTACTGGTGGTTTAATAAACTTTTCATAAGTCATCCCCTCCTCTGTGGTACGGGGATATAACTGGGTCTTGAGGGGTTCTGGCAGTGCTCTAGCAAAGTTGTTAAGAATCTGGGCTGGGGTCAGTCCATGTTCCGCACATCGCAACAACTCGTCCATGGTGGCCTTGAGTGCAGATGCACTCTTCCACTTGCGGCCCTCAATGTTAAGGATGAGGGACTCTGTTCGACGAGCTAAGTTCTTATCTTCGAACCGATCTTTCAACGCTTTGAAGAAGTCCTCTATCCTAGTTCGCTGTGAGTACTGCACCATGTGCACCCGACCTTTTTCACTAATGAAATAGCGAAACTTGTTGCGTCTCCCCCTCGGCACAAACTTGCCATAAGTACGCGGTCCCAATACGGAATCAACTGCACATACAAGTATCCATCGCTGCCTCTCAGTGGAAAATGCTATCATCCCTCTTCCCAGTGTACGTCCAAGGGACCTCAATCTTCATCTTTTCCCTTAGCTCACCTCGCTCAGACTTATCTTCTCCTCCTTCCTTTCTCATCATCGCCATCATCTCCACCATCTCCTCCACCATCGCCGCCTCCTGCTACTACGGACTGGATGGTGCTCTACGGATTCCGTCTAAGTGACGGGCGTAGTCAACTATTCTTTTGTTGACAATGTGGGAAGAGGCACTCAGGTAGCTGTTCACATTCCCTGGAAATCTTCCTGATGCCTTTCTATCTTTCCAACGGATTTTTGCAGCGCAGCCAGCTCTTGGGTGGTGTGCAGCAGTGTGTCAGTGAGGAGGCCCAAACTCTCCTTAACTTCAACTTCTTTCCCTCTTTGGTCTTTCAACAAGGCCTGGAGCCTTTCCCCTTCCTCCTTCAACCTCTTCTTCTCCTCATACTCCTTCCTTTTCTGTTGGACCAAACATTGGTCAAGGGTGCTCCTCCTTTCTCCTCATCTGCTGCAGATGCCATCTTGATGGTGAATGCATCTTTTTCTTGTCCTGTCTCATCTGGCATCTCTGTATGATACCCAAATTTCACCACCCAGTCTATGTCTTCCACTTGTCGTAATCTTAATTCACCAGCATGGCTGCTATCTGCCACCTCCTCTCTTTCTGGTCTAGCCCTCCTCCTTTCTAATCCTTCTCCTTCCCCTTCTTCCTCCTCTTCCTTCTCTTCCTTCTTCTCAGCCAATTTTCTGTCAATTTCAGCTTGCTGCTCTGCTGTGTTTGGCTGCGTGGACCCACCAGACCGCATGGTAACACTCATTCCGCAAGTGCGGTGGAACACCAATGGAAACAGGAAGCGGAGGAGTGGACCCCATATCACGTACAGGGTCAACATGGCGAACATTGGGTAATCATCCATGGTTACGGAAGGCACAGGTAAGTAGCCTCCACCTCCTCACCACTTAGACTTAACCCTCAACACCTAAACTACCTAATCTAGATTGGAGTTTGACCTGAGTTCTTCTCCCCCCATAGCGTCACTACAGCTATCCTGTCAGGCTGGTGGGTAACCAGCAGTTTAAGGTCAGCCAGCAAGGACCTCAGGAATTATGTAACGACAGACCGGACGTCGTGCCCACCAGGATCTGAAGGTTGGCTCTCAAGACTTATATCTCCTCACTGTGTCATCTCCGGTTTGGTCGCATGTCGGTCAGTACCGGTCTTAGGGCTAGACTGTTGTTTTACGAGCGCTTGCCGCTCATGCCCATGTTCCCTACTTCATGGGTCATACATCCAGCTGCCGAGCTTCTAGCCTAGACAGGACCTACTTCATACACATATGTCTGACCAGATGCTGACTCAAGACAAAATCAGATTGTCACCAAGTGTTCTGTCCAGCTGCGGTGACTCTCTCTGTCTATCCCTCCTGGTCTTTTTCATGCACGCACTCTCTTTCCCACTCTCTCTATTTGAGAATCTTGACTCTGAATACATTCACTGCTACTCAGCTCTATCCCTACTACTAACTTATGCGGCTATGGCCGCCTTCCTTCTCAGTGCAGCGCTGCCCGGCAGGGCTCTCGCGCACATGCTACTCACGGATAGCGCACAAGCGCTTCAGCAGCACTTCCACACTTCTCACAAATGAGCAATCTGTCCAAAATGTTCCTGGCCAGTCCTTATATTGACTTGGACTGAGCTTCAACTCGTTCCAGCCTCTGCTTCTTGTGGCTTGACTTGGTACTGGTACCACATGCCCTTGCTTGCTTGCTTCAGAATGTCAAGGACTGGTACTTTCCCGAGTTTTCATTCGTGTGCTGCTGCTTGGGTCTGTGAGTCACAACTTTTCACCTGTGAAGCATGACTTTTGACTGTGGTATGTGACTCTTGCCTCTGGGACACAACTTTTGCTTGGAGAAGTGTCCTTTACCTGTGGGATATGACTTTTGAATATGACTTTTCAATACAAGACGTGACTTTTGCTTATAGAACGCAACCTTTGCCTCTGGGATGTGACTGTTTACCGAGTGCCTGTTGGACTTGACTCCTAAGGTACCCGACTGTGACTTTTCTGAAACTGACCGACTTGGCCTCCCTTGGACTGGGACCTTGACCCTGAAATTCGAATTCGGGGTCTGCATCATGGAATGCCTTTCATGACATGTTTTGGGCCAAATTAGTCCATTTCAATTTCGTTCAAAAAATATAAAATGCTGGGTTAAGTCGACGTCCGGCCCAGACGGACCGGGCCAGACGGACCGGGCCAGACGAACGGGGGGGGGTCCGTCCGGCAAAACCAGACGAGCCAAAAAACATCCCAGGAATTTTTTTTTTTTTTTTTTTGAAGAT